TGGCTAAACCTCCAAGTCGAGCTCTAGCTGCTATTACGTTCGTTCGTCACTTGGTCTAAACTATGAAGAAAAAAAAAATAATATAATAAAAATAACAAAAACAAATAAAATATTATACCGACATTGCCCTTTTTCCATTTCGCCGCTGTTCCGCTGTTGTACCTAATAAAGTAAATCATATTAAACGTTAATAAGTTAAGGGTCAACACTAAACCTATTATTTTTTTGGTCTCGTCAATATGAGTTGTCGTTTTTTTGTTCGTGAGAAAAAAAAATAGTTTAATTTTTGGGAACGCGTAATAAATGTGATTAAATATGGCAAAATCATATGACCAATTGATCGTTAACCAACAAAAATTTGCGATCAAAAATGCTGATCTTTAATAGAATTAATATAAAGAAAAATGATTAAAAATGCAGTTCTATGCGTTCAATGTTGGATAATAAAAAGAAATTTCTTGAATTAAGAAATAGAAAAATTTATAAAGAACTAATGTTCTAAATGTGTATACTAATTACATCGAAAATGTTTTATTTCACATTTTTGTTCATAAATTTACGATGGGATCACTTCGCAAAGTGTCATTAATAAATCGTTTCTTAGACCTATCATCAACACCACGCGCTTGATTCTTAAATATTACATCATCATCCCACCTAAAAAGAATTAACATCAAATAAATTTAAAAAGGTTAATTTAAATCAAATTAACATCAATAATTTTTTTCAAATTACCTTCTCTTAACACTGAAAACTTTGATAAGGATGGGATTTCCAGCTAATGCCTCTTCTTGTCTTTGTCTTTCATCTGCTTCTAACTTATCAAATTCCTTTATACTGAAAAATTAGGATAAGTTAATGATTTTAAAAAATGTAATATCAAAAACTGACGATAATATTTACTTATTTTTCTTTTTCTTTCATATATTCTTTTCTTATTTTCTCTAATTCAAGTTGTAAAGCTATTGCATCATCTTCCTCATCTGAATCTTCACTGTACAAAAAAAAAAAATAAACGTTAATTCAATTAAATAATTTTAATAAAAATTTGACTCATTTAAACACCTGTTATCACTATCCTCATCACTATCATCGTCACTGTCATCTTTATCCAAGGTGGCAGCTTCTATTCGACGCTTTTCTGCTAATTGATCATTAAAAGAGAAAGAGTCATCACGAAAAGCTTCTCCTTTTTGGTTCTCTTTCAGCTTTTAAGAGTTCTTCTTTGAGATCTATTTTATCAAGTTCTTCTGTTGTAAGCCCTGTTTGTCTATTTATAGATTAGCAAAAGGTTGTGAAATGAGAGATATTTTACACTATAAATGATCTTTACCTATCTATACTCGAGTATGTGCTGCAAGCTATATTGTAAAGTTGGAGCTTTACCATCATAACCACGAGCAGGATCAAACGTTGGTCTAGCAGCGGTAGTCATATTTATTAATTTGTTGAAAAACTATGAACTAAGAATTTAAAGCATTCAATTAATCTGGAGGAGAGTAAATTAACCGAAAATTCTCCGCGGCTAATATTTATGTTGTGCAACTAGTAGTTAGATCATGTGACAAACATATAGAGGTTCTACGTACAGCTTTGTTTACTGAAAACGCGGTATCTCTTATTCATATTTAAGTAGGTTCCCCAGTTTTTTAATTTCAATTTTTTTTTTTTTGAACATTTCGTTCAATTTATACAAAAAAAACAAAAATCGATGATTTCAGAATTCAAATGGAAATGAATAGCAAGAATAACAAGCTTTCATCAGAACGATCAAATTCGCTTGATATTGATGAATATGCCTTTCAAAATTTGAGAATTACTGCGAAGGAAAAGCAAGATTTATTGAATAAATTGGAAAATGAAAGTTTGTTTCAATTCATTATCATCGTCTTAATCACGTGAATTCATAATCTAATTGAAAAAAAAATATATAGTGAACGTACGTATTCAAAAACTCAAGCAGCAAGCTGAGGAGTTTGCCAAAGAACTTAGTGCATGTTGTGAGCGAGAAATCAATAATCTTCCCAAGGAAATTAGACAATTACCTTTGGATGAATTTATTAATCTTTATCATGCTGACCCAGCTGAATATTTTGAACGATGTATACAATAATAACACTTTTATTATGAATTAAAAATAACTTTTAGTATGTCAAATCAGCTTGACTATTATCAGGCTAGGTTGATTTCATTCAAAGGAAAATGTCTATAATCAGCGCAAAATATTGCATGCTTAATTAAAAGATCTTGGAACGAATTTCAAAGACCAATCTTTATTAGTTTTTGCGTCGGTAAGTGAAAGAATTATATTCTCTATTTTCAAGTTCAACAATTTTAATAAGTAAATTTATTTTAACTATTTTCAAATTTTTATACAAAAAAAAAATCTTTAAATAAGCTAATTCTATAATACATATAAAACATGTATTATATATTATTAAGCTAATAATATTGTTTTTCTTGAGAGACAAATATTAAGAAAGGAAGGAGTTATAATATTAATGAATGAATGATATGAGAATCAAGGAAAATTTTGAAAATAAACCAAATTTTTTTTTTTTAGCTGTTATTAAGTTATCAAATAATAATAGTAATGATAATGAATGTAAAGTTTACCGATCCAAAAATACAATCATATTATTTATATGTATGAGGAAAAAAAAAAATGCTCCAATATTATGAAAGAAAAATAAGAAAATAGAATTTTAACTAAACTTAATAATCCTTGATGGATATATATGGTAAATGAAAATGCATCACCCAATCCTATGATTCTATAATGAAACGAATACGATAACATCGTACTGAACCGTTTACATTAGTCATCGTATAAATAAATAAAATTTTTATCGTTGACGGTTAGCAATAAATCTTTACTATAGAATCTGCACCACCACTTGCTATCCAAGGTAAAGAAGGATGATATTGAACGGACAATACTCCTTCATCGGATTTTCGACGATGAGTTACAAATTCTTGAATACAATGCCGAGTCGATACGATATCCCACAAACGTATGGAACTATCATGTCCTATTAAGGATAAGAAAATGAAAATATTAATATATCGATAAACTAAAAGAATAATTAAAACAATACTTCATATAAATAATCATTACCTCCTGATAACAAAATCATTCCAGATGGATCAATGTCAAGCGATGTTACTGAATCCAAGTGGGCATGCATCGAATAAGTACATTTACCTAAGTGATAAAAAAAGTGAGCGACAAATAATTATTACTTTGAGAAATTTTAAAAAATAATTACCGCTATTAATGTCAAAAAATCGAATATATTTATCCTCGTGTGCTGAGAATATTAAAGACATTGTAGGATGAACGATTATACGATTGATTTGTGTTGCAGGTGTGTTATCATACGTATCATCGCTCTTAAAATCTAAAATACTTTGCCCGCTTTTAATATCAAATAGTTTGATGATTGAATTTTGGTATGATACAGCAATTTTCTTTAAATCACTGTGCACAAAATCTACCGATGTTGGTATAGGGGGACGACCTTTAAATGAAAGAGAAAATAACGTTAAAAATTAAAATATCATTAAAAAAAAGATTAGATTCAGGAAAAAAGGGGTTGAATGTACCTTCTCCGTTAACAGATTCTTCACTATTAACACCATAATAGCTCCAAGAGCATTTCAAAGGTGATCCTTCAGCCTCTGTATCCCAAATTTTGACCGTGCCATCGGCAGATGCAGATGCCAACAATTGGGTATTTTGATTACGCATAGGGAATAATCTTAAATCCCAAATTGCATCCGTATGACCAATGTAGGTGGTCAGGTTTAGTGAAGGATCTGATCAATATAATAATTAATTCTTCCCGACAAAGGAAAAAAGATTTGACAAAAATACAAACAATGTTCTATGACTTTAATTTTAGAAATAAATTTTTAAATAATAGTTACCGACAGGTCCATAAGTATCGCGTTTAGGTGAAGGAAAGTTCCATACACGAATTGTAGCATCCATACTGGCTGAATAACATCTTCGTTGTTCTGAAGCCATTACAACCGAATTAACTGCCGCTGTATGTCCTCGATAGGTCATAGTTGGTTCTATATCTGGAACAGATGCCGGTCTTTGAAAATTTTAACTTTGTTAGAAATATAACCTTTCTAATAAGGAAAAATATTTTACATCATTATTTAATATCGTACTTATGAGATAGTGGACCTTTCAAGTCCCATAGTTTTACAGTACCATCTTCGGAACCAGATAAAAACGTGAGTTCAGTTTTATGCCATGAAAGGGATCTAACTGAATCAAGATGACTACATACGAAAAAATAAATATATTTAGCTATTATGTTGACTTTGAAAAAGAAAATTTGAAAATTAAGTTATTTTTACCTTCTCAGAGTAAATCTTTGTCTCCACATTTTGTGATCTGAACCGTTTTCCTGTGTTTTATCGATTTGACAGCGATTAATATCAAGTCAATTATATGAAAGTAAATTGAAATTAATTAATACCTCGGATTTTTGTGTATTTTCCTCCTCTTCAATATTAAAACTAAGCTCATCTAACTGCGGATCGGATGTATTGATTGCTAATAATAATATTTATTAGAATCAAATGTTATATATATACACAAATTAATGAAAACTTGCTTAATAATGAAAAACAAACCCAATATTTCCTGACTTTTTCGTTTATTTGCATTTTTCAACAACTTTGTTACTTTAACATCCGATAGGCCAAATTTTTTCTGTACATCTTTAGTCTATTTCCATAAAAAGGAATAATTTATTTAGTACGATAATTATTAAAGGATCTTTTTAATAAAATAATAATAAATAATAATAAATAATATACCAATTGCTCCTCCTCTTCTTTAATTTCATCTGCGCTTTTTGAAATAAATTTACTTCTATTTTTAACGTGATTGGAAGTTTTCCACTCCCTTTCATTCTTTGCTTTATTATGTATAGTAGAAGTATTATGGTTTGATAAGAATTCACTTTCTTTAACTATTCCATTGTTTACTGACGATTGAATATCCGATGAACTATTGACTTCAAATTCTGGCGAGGTTGGAGAAGATTGTTCATAATTGGATGATCTCCCACCGCTTTTAACGAATTCACCTCCCGAGTAAGAGGGAAAGGACCTGCCTTCTCGCTCCACAGATATAGAACTTGAACTTTCACTCAAAGGCATTGAATAGTTTAGTGGAGGACTTGAAGAATTAGCTGATAATATCGGTGAAACTGTAGCGGGCGATGTAGGTGCTGGTCTGGAAGGTTTAAAGGAAACATCGTCTGGGTTTTTAGGTGATGCTCCATTATATGCATTTATATTGTCTCCAATAAATATAGAATTATATCTATTATCTGGTTTCCGCGTTGCATTACTATTTCCATCCAAGCCTGTTGAATGATTTGAAAGTGGATAACCATCCGAACTACTTGGATAGGTTGAAATACGATTATTAACGGATAAATTATTCGTTGCGGCGTCCGTAAGATAATCGATTTCTTGTAAACAACTATAATTTAATAATCTTGTTAAAATTATTAATATTTAATAAAGAATTCATAACATTTTTAAAAAATGCATACGCTTTAAGAAGTTCACGACTTTTTATGCGATAATTAGGATCTCTATTTGATGTTGAACATTTGTATTGTAAAGACGCTGAATTCAAAATTGATGTCATAGTTGATGAACTTTTAAGAGATTGTGTATTATTTAACGTTACAGGCAATTCAGCTGATGACCATAGGATATTATCAATAAAATAAAGTAAATTGGTTCGATTTAATTTGCGACTGAAAAAGATAAGGTTTAAAATGAACCAAATAAGAAAACTTACGAAAATTTTCAAATTCGCAACTTACGTCCTTCTTCATTTGCAGGTGTTGACACATTAGATGATTCTCTTGTTGGAGGTAAACCAGCCAAGTATTTGCTCCTATTGTAAATAACAATGTTAATTAATAAATAGACTTGAAATAATTTGACATAATTCATTCCGATAGTTTTGAAATAGAAAATAGAATGATATAATACCTTTCTTGTCTCAAGGCGAATTCCAGCATTTTAACACGTTTCATTAAATCTGTTTTCATTTTTTCAATTCCTCGACGCTCGCCTTCCAATAGTGCAATTCGAGCCTATATATGCAAAAAATAATAAATGATTTTATTAATAATTCAACAAGTTTTTTAAAACGAAACATCAAAAATAATTCTCAAATGGGATTAGCCAACTTTACTTCCGAAACATACCTTCATTTCCGCGCGCTCAATTTCCCATTCATTTCTATCTCGCTCATAACGTCTCCACTCTGATTGAAGGAAATGTAGTACTCCTGGCAGGGTATATTCTGGTGGTTGAGGCTGTTGTACTTGTTGTTGCGGTTGGCCAAAGGTTTGTGCCATTATAACAGGTAAAAATGAAAATCTTTATATAATAGTGTGATGCGGAAAATTTAAAGAAACTATTAGCATCATACAACGAAAAGCAGTAAAAGAGGGACTATTGGATCCCAACAAAACGTGTTGACGATGTTGTTCCAAAACATAAAAAGTTTGTTTACAACTTTTAAAGGTTAATATACTTTTTTATTATCGATAAACTCGGTCACACGAAACACTAACAAGTTACGTCATAGCCTTTACATTGTTATATTGTTAATTTAATTTAATTGACAAAATATGAAACCGTTCTAACCAGCTAATTCTTCGCCATAATAAAAATACATCATGAATTCTCAGGTATACTTTTGGAATCTAAATAAACTACAGATGTAACTCAATTGCAGAAAGTTAACATTTTTTCTTTACTTTTTTATTGCATATCTTTTTTTTATAGATCTCAAATTTATTACTAGTCCTTGGGATTGTTCAAGTGGCTCGCAAATTAGATTTAGAGAACCCAGATGTATTAGTATATGTTCGTCTTGGTTATCTTTTTACTCAGACTATCATACTTGGAGTCTGTTTTTACCTTGCAACCAAGATAAAGGCAAAGAATGGCAAGTTTATTTTTGCATAGTTTTATTATTGAGTACTTTCAAGTTATGTATACTCACAAGATCTATGTATTAATAGATACCACCACCCTCAAATATGTTGAGCCGCCAAAGCCATTTACCAACGAACCGGAAAAGCCTATAGAAACGAATAATAGAGATTATGATCTTTCAAAAGTGCAAGAATTACTCAAACAAACCTTGATCGGAATTGCCTTTATGTGTGTTTTGCATTTTTATTGGAACTTTACTCAACCTTTATTTATTCAAAGCCTCCTTCCATTGAAGAATATGTATAGTAATCAAGTTGTTCAAATTCATTTGTTTGGCAAACCAGCTGAAGGTGATTTGAAAAGACCATTTAAAGTAAATTCCCCTTTCGGTTCAATGATTCAACAACCACAAACTGATAAAGCATCCATTAAAAAAGCCATCAAAGCTTCAAAAGCTGGTGGTAAAAAGGATGATTAACTTTAGCAAAAAATTTTGTCGTCAGTTACTTAATTGTAATGTAATCAGATATTAGAATTAAATAGGCAAGACTAAAATTGTATTATTTTATTTTAATGCATTCTTGTTGCACTTTACAAATTTACACAAACAAATCTCTCTTTTATAAAAATATTAATGTTTTAATTAATATATATGGTTATATAACTTAATAATAAATTTTGCTTTTGTTCACTTTTTGCCTTTTTTCTTTTTACCACTTCCACTACTATTTTCTGGAACAATTACATCACCACCAACTATATCAGGATTTTCTTTTATTTTTTCCTGTGCTTGGAGAAAAAACATCAAATCTCTTATTTGTTCTTCAAAATCTTTGATTTTAGCATCTTTATCTTCAAGTTGCGTTTGCAAGTATTGCTGTTTTGTTAATAGAGATTTGGTAATCTGATTTGTTTGATAAGTAACAAATTATCACTTTTAGTAAAGAATAGATTTATTTACCCACCCCCCAAAAATTAAAATAAAATAAATCTTACCTCCTTCTCATCTTTCAGCTCTCTTTCCAGTTTCTCGGACTTTTCAATAAATTTCTCAACTTTCCTTTCGACAGATTTCTTCTCTTTTATCAATGATGGAATCTTATCTTTTTCCAATGTTTCCTTTTCTCTTTGAACTTTATCGTTATCCAGTTTCAAAGCAGAAACTTCATTTGCTAGCTTATGATATTGATTCGTCAATTTTGATAATTGTAATGTTACGGAATCAAGTTTCTCTTCGTAAAATGTTCGTTGTGATGAAAGTTGTGTCGATAAAAGATAGCTATATTCTAACCCAATGGCATCAAGTTTGTCCTAATAATGGTGAAATTTTAATATGTTTAATAATTAAAAATGTTAAGAAGCTCGTAATTGACATTCACCTGATTAGCTTGATCATTTCTTTGCTGTTGTATCATAGATGGTGCATCAGGGCCGGGTAATTCCACTAATTTACCATCTGTTTTATTCTGTATTAAACGATGAACATAACTAATATATATATACATATATATATTCAATGATTACAAATAAAAAAAAATAAAAAAATATTAATATTAATAAAATTTTACTCACCCATCACCGGCGTAATCCCACACTCTTTGAGTCTCCAACTCTAAAGCGTATAAATGTGAGGTTTCGTTATAATGACAATATGCGTGAGCTTCTTGATATCGTCCGCATCCAATATTGCCACAAACTAAACATATCCACAAGTTTTCTGTAGCTCCACAAACGCCACATTCATTTTGCTCCAGCGAAGTATCATAATAATTGCGTTTCTGACTATATCGACAAACCGGACAACTTTTTGCATCGTCATATTATAAAAGAGAAATGTATCTATTTAATTCTATGGTTCATTAGTCGGTTTACAAAGATATCATTTAAATGGTGCAATTATATATTATTTACCTGCTATCACCCCATTTACTTAAACAATTACAATGAAATGTATGTTGACATAAAATTGTTAGTAATCCTGTAACAGATGCGTCCATTCTTTCAAGACATACGGGACACGTTGGAAGTTCATGTAACGGGGAAGTGCTTTGCTTGATTTTATCATCTTGCATAGATGATGTATCGACTTCGCTTGATAAAGGTAAAAATGGGTCATGTAAAAAAGGAAAAGCATATGGTGGAGTGGAAGTTGATTTGAACTCGATAGATTTGATATATACGACATGACATATCTCGGGCTAAATAAAGAGGAATGAATATAAATGATAATTAAAATTAAAAGTAATGATGTTTAGTAAATAATGAACCAACCTCCATTGAACTGAACGGACGAGCATTGAATTGTTTATAAAAATCTTTAGCAGCTCGTGCATGACGAAACTTCATTAACACTATAAACTTGTTCGGAGCTGAATCTCTGTAATAAAACTTTTTTAATATATCAAAAAAAAAAATAGAAAAGATGAATTTAATTTGCAAAGACGTACCTTATAAATCTAAAGTGACTAACATATTTCCTCACTGGAGCAACAAAACTTAAAAAATCAGAAGCTGTCATATATGATGGAACAGCTAAAACAGCCAATATTGTTGCGTTGTTCCCAAGACTAGGAAGATCATCACGCTTTTCACTCTCAACTGAATTGCTTTCTTTGTGTTCAGAACTTTTTAAATTAACATTATGAGTATTCAAATTATCATTTGCGTGATCTTCTTTAGGAGGAATTTCTTTGGGATCACGATAAAGATGTAATATACCATAACTTAGATTTGTTTTTCCAGAATTTAATGGAATAAATTCACCAGCTGGAGAAATAGTAGTTTTTTCACTACTAGATTTAGTTTTCTTTATAGATGAAGATAAGATATTCTCTGAAGATGACTCTGTCTCATGTTTGTTTCCATTGTGATTATTATTAACTGCATTATCATTTGATTCTTCGTTCATATTCTCTTCAATATTATCAAACCACTCAATCTCAATATTACCAAATCGAAAATCGTGAGTTTTATCAAAATTTAAAGTACGATCTTCTGTAAGTTGAGGTAATGTAGCAGACGTAAAAGATCTTCTTCTACGAACAAAAGTACTGCAATTAGAAGATGATGAAGTGAAAACACTCGAAAAATTACTATGTGACTGGTTTTCTTTTGATACTGGAGTAGGAGGAATCAATGGTATTTCACAAGAGCGAAGATATTTTGCTTGATCTACAGATTTTGATCTAACTTTTGACTTAGTTTTTGATTTCGATTTATTAAAGCTATTGGATCTTTTTAAAGATAATTTTTTATTAGAATTTGACCGGTGTGAAGGAAGCTTTTCGAAAATATCTTTAGGAACAAAATATGGATCAGAAGAATTATTTTGTTCTGGGGTTTCTTTTTTATTTATTGAAGAACCTGAATCTTGTAAATTTATAACCTGATTACTATTTGTAAGAGGGTATAACTCGAATTTTAAATGATAAAAGTACATAATCCAAACAATTAAAGGTGAGAAAACTGCCCGAATTTTTATTAATAAAAAAACGTTCTATATAATCACGATCACGTGAAAATTCGGATGATGTTACACTATCAAATCAAATCTTTCTTTTTTTTTGGTTGGCTGGTTTTTGTGATCAAATGGTCATATGATTTGCATATTTAATCACGCGTTCCAAAATTTAAACTTCTTTTTTTTTTCTCGCGACAAAAACTCTTTGACAAGGCCAATAATAATAATAATAATAATGTTTTAGTGTTGAACCTTATTAACGTTTAATATTCTTTATTTTATTAGATACAACGGCACAACAGCGGCGAAATGGAAGAAGGGCAATGTCGGTATAAATATTTATTTGTTTTTTGTTATTTTTATTATATTATTTTTCTTTTCTTCTGGTATAGGCAGGCCAAGTAACGGACGAACGAACGTAATAGCAGCTAGAGCTCGACTTGGAGGTTTAGCCAACTTTGTTAGGGTAGCCAACTTTTGTTGTGTGAGCCAACTCTGTTGGGCTTCAAGTACGGCCTGACAGAAGGGGGTCGGCGGTAACCTATTGAGATGTGGTTTTTTTTCGGTAAGGGTCTGCATTTTCATATGAGAAAATTGCTATGTATCTTCTTTTACGTGTCAGGAAAACCATTTCCAGGCCTGGGCTTCCCGCTTCCTGAAGGGTTTTGGAGTTTACCTAACCATAGCAATGTTCTGGCTGCAGTAGATGGGAAGTTATTTTTTAACAGATGTAAGTTATTTCTTATCTTTATGTTCTTTTGGTCTTGTCATATGAGTTTTTATGGTCATTTTCGTATAACAATTACAATTTTAATTAATGTATTAATCAAAAATGTATCAATATATATAATAAAAATAGTTTTCATTATATTTTAAAAAAAAATGGTTGTAATATAAATAAAGTTTTTATTAAAAAAAAATTATTAGTAATTGCAAAAGTAATTCCTATTTTGTACATTTTTATAATTTTTTAATAAATAATTTATTTCTGGCTTTTCCAGCGCATTCCTATTATAAATTAAAAAAGATAATTTTAAAGATAATTGTTAAACATTTCGATGCTAAATTAATTTTTTATTTTAATACGAGCAGGTAAAACATTTATTATAATTCATATTATATTTAATTTGGAAAAAATATAAAAATATTTAGCAAGATATCATCAATAATTATAAATTGTTGAGACTATTACTGCTTTTATAGTCGAAATTTAAGTAATAGCATTTTTTTTTCTGATACTACTTTGATATTAATGTATTTCTTTAGATTCAAGATTTTTTATGTTAATAATTCTAGAATACTTCAGGTAATTTATTAAATTTTTTAATTTTTTCTAGAAACAGATCTATAATTTTTTTTTTTTAAAAAAGATATGAAAGAAATATATAGGTGATGTGAATACCTTCAAATGTTTATTCTTAATTCCTGAAAGTTTAAATAAATTAAAGAGAAATTGTGATAATTTGCAGTAAAAATCTAGATTTTTGATTTTTGAGAATAAGTTAAAAGGACTTGAAAAGAATTTCAAATAAAATAATTATACAATCCTTTAAAGCTTGTAAAATATAAACTTCCTTAGATAGAATGGATAATGAAATCAGTGAAGAAATTAATGATAATGATAATGTTAACAATAAAGAAGTAAATAATAATAATGTTTATGAAAAAAGTAAATGATAATGAAGTTAATAATGATGAGTTTAATATTGATGAAATTAATGATAATAAAATTAATAGTAAGTAATAAATTGAATAGTTAATATTTATTAAAAATACTTATTCAAAATCAAAAAAGAATCAATTATGTAACTATTAATAAACAATAATTGGATTTTCATTAAAACTTTTATGTTTTTATAAACCTCTATTCATTTTTATATTATTAACTTAAACAAATTTAATAAAAATATCTAAAATAATATATATTACTAATATTTAAATATTTAATTTATGAAAAAAAAATTATAAAATTAAATTAATATATTTAATATTATAATTATTAAAGATTAAGTTTTATTTAAAAATAATACATTTTTAATAAATTTTAATTTATTTTAACTAATCATTAAATTATTATATAAAAATTTAGCTTTAAAGGATAATACTATATAATAATATATGATTTTTTGAATTATAGCAATAAATAAAATAATTAAATAATATATATAAATATATAAATTTTATTATTAATAATTATTAAATTATTTAAGATAATTGTAATAATATTTATTTAATACAATTTGATATGATAAATCTTTAATAATTTAATTAATAAAATAAGTTATGATCTAAGAAAATCAAGTTCTAAGAATTTTTTATTAAAATTGAGATTTTAATTGCATTTTAATTTTCATTTTATTTAAATTAAAATGTAATAAAGTATTAATTCTAATCAAAAATTTTTCATAACCTGATTTTCTTAAATTATAATCCAAATTCTTAACAAATTATAATTTAAGTAATAATAAAATAATTACATATAATATATAGTATAAAATTATACAAAATAAATATTTATTTAATAAAAAAGTTAAAAAATAGATAATAAAGTATTATTTGGATTATGATCTAAGAAAATTAAGTTCTAAGAATTTTTTATTAAAATTGAAATTTTAATTGCATTTTAATTTTTATTACATTTAGACTAAAATATAATAAGATATTAATTTTAGTTAAAAATTTCTCAGAACTTGATTTTTTTAGATCACAACCCATTTATATAAAATAATTTAATTTATATAAAAAAAAATTAAATAAATAATATATTTAAATATAATCATTTTCTTTATAATTACTATCTATATAATTACATTATATAATTTCTTTTTAAACTATTTTAAAAAATAATTTCATTTAATATTAATCCTTATTTTTTCAAAAATTTATATTTATATATTATGTACTGTAACTTCATAAAAATATAAAAATAAAATAAATTTATTTGATCTAATTGTTTTATTAAAAAATTAAATTATATTAAATGCAAATATCATGTTATTTTTCTTATTTTTTTGTTAATTTTTTAATTATTTTATTATAAGTATAAAAAGAATAATCTAAAAAGTTAATAATTAGAATAAAGCAGATATACAGTGGCTTACAAAAGAAATACCAATAGAGTTGCTTACCTTTAAAAGCTTATAACTCACCAATCACGAATGCTAGAAATATGGTTTTGTATTTGTTTAAATCTCAAAACCTAACTAATATTCAGTAAAAACTTGAAGTACGATTATCAAGACCAATTTTGCGCAATTTAGTGATCTACATCAAAAATTCTTATTTAATGAAATTTAAGTGTAGAAAATTTTTCAGTAGGCTGACTACCCAAAAACTGATACTATATTCAGATTCTTCTCAGTGCCGCAATTCTAACAAGCTAAAATTCGTCCAAATCGAATCAGTAGATCAGTGAAAAATCAATAAAGAAGATCGTTATGATATTATATAAAAATGTGCCTAACTATATTTATATACAGTGAACTCTTGATATAATGAATTTTAGGATCTAGATATCAACTTCGTTATAAGCTTATAACGAATTTTTAAAGAATTTAATTGGCTAGTTCACTATAGTAAAGGTAATTT